GGCTTTATGATAGGTATCATTAGCCATTTAGTTGACTTCGGGCTTCACAGAAAGGAAGAGGAACATCAAAGTGGCAAAAAGTCGAGAGGGAGGGGGAACAGAATAATGATTCAGAGACGTAAAAGAGACAGACAGACAGACACAAAGGTAGAAAAAGGTGAGGTGAGTACTGTGGAAGTAGTCGAATATGACATACAGTGGGGTGATAGCAATTTGAAGTCAGAAGTCAACTGCAGGTTAAGAGACTTTTTTGCCGTATGAGTATACGTTGCCCAGGGTGCACCACGTGGAGGTAAGTCTATCTCACAGCCCCCACATCAAAATATGAGTTCACTAAAACTCCCCTCAGAGTAATGGGCCCAATATGATTGATTTTTTGTTAATTAAAAAAAATCGCGACAACTAATATTGCGCGAAAAATTGTCAAAACTAAAATGAACGGTATAATTCACTTACAGTTATAGAAGCCGCAATCAGAGTTTCCCGAGCAAAAGCCATGGCATTAATAGCAGTTCGAATTGGCGGGAAAGCTTCCATAGTCATGTTTATGATAATTGAGGGAATTCGAAGGAAGGGTTGTTTCGATCTCAAGGCATCCACGACACATCTTACATGCGCATCCGTATTGTTTGCATTCAGGAGAATCTGGGTCATCCTCACAAGCAGTTCATCGAAAAATGTCGTAACCAGTCGAGAAAGGTCATCCAAATTTCCTGATATGTAGGATTGAATTGTGGTGAAGAAATTAATGAAAAATTGTTCATGCGGCCGGAATTTGTAAGCAAAGTCTCGACGGAGCTGACTATGCAGTTGTTCCATAGTTGTCCCGAGGGAATCGATAACAAATGCTGAATAAGGACGAAATAATAAAAGCTCATCTAAACGTACTTTTCAAAGTGATTGTGTCGTTGCGAAAATTTTCTGCATTCGTTTCTAAAAGATTTTTCAATGTCCTACCGATTTCGTGTTCACTGGCTTCAGACATTCCCAGTAGCATTTCAGGTGTGCAACATGAATCGCCATTGCGAACGTTTCCGCAAACATTTTCGTCAACTAAAAGGGCGAAAATTAGACAAAGAAAGGCATACATCTTCGATTAGTTATCATCCTGTTTCCAGCATAAGAATGCCATTGTCTTTGTATTGATAAGCATTTAGGTCCATCATAAGATAGGACTGGATTTAAGAGGGGGGAAATGAGAATAATACTGATTAGACTCGTCCGTAGGATCATTGGGATAATATAATGATCCCGCTAAAATACATTACATTTAAAAGGGTAATCAGGATTTAAACCAGGAAAACAGAAGTATGTTATATTACAAGTAGTAGATATTTAAGAGAAAAATGCAAAAACTTTCAAAAATTCGATAGCTATAACCGAAAAATTACAAATAAGAAAATGCAAAATGACGGTAATTAGAATTCGATTGCCTGAATTAAATAATAAATAATTACAACTCAAGCAGGAGATCATTAAAACACATAGAATCACTTTGACAGGCATAAAATATGGTAATTCTAACAATATAAAAGAGATGTGAAGCATTATTTAATTGCATTTGGACATAAATCATATAGAATAAATTTATAAGTCTGAAAAAATAAGATAGCGTATTTAAACCACGATATGTAAAAACAGAAAATTAAATTCATTCACCATAGTATATAAATAAATAAGGTTATTTGATGCCGAAAACCTAATGATACTAAACGAAAACTAGAGACAAGAGAACACGGCGAGTCAAAATGCGCGAGCAACAGCCCATTGTTTTAAAAGTCTCAAGGTCAGTTTTTGTTTTTAGAATTTACAAATTTCGAAATATATAATTTACATATTCCCTGTTTAATCAGGATTGTTTTACTTTAAAATGATTCTTTATTTCTATTGTATATTTGGTAAACCGCACAACTGAAGTTGATGTCTTCAAAATCTATTTTCGCTTTAATATTTTCTGGAAATGATGGCACATAATTGTGACGAATTAGGTAGTGTTATTCGGATTTGATTAGAGTTCACTCCGGTTGCTAAATATTATTTTCTGTAATACTACTAGCAACCTGCTTACGGCTATAAGAACAACATTGCCTTTATTCACTTCATAAAGATTAGTTAAATTAAAACTCAGAAAAATTAAGGAACCTTATTTCACTTTTATCTTTTGAAAGTATATATAAGTCATTTGAAAGGGAGCTCTTGTGAGAAAAATTGGCATTAACAAATGACTGATTGTTTACTGCCTGTATTAAGATCTACGTGTGTGAGGAAGACTTACCTCCACGTGGTGCACCCTGGGCAGCGTACACTCATACGGCAGAAAAGTTTATTAACTGGCAGTTGACTTCTGACTTAAAAACCCACTGTATGTCACACTCGACAACTTCCGCAGTATCCATCTTACCTTTTCTCTGCCTTTGAATCTGTCTGTCTCTTGTACATCTATGATTCATTATTTTATCCCCCCCCCTCTCGACATTTTGTCATTTTGATGTTCATCCTCCTCTCTGTGAAGCCCGAAGTCAACTAAAGGACTAATGATAACTACAAAAACGGCTGCCATTTGAAATAAATAAATAAATATTAAAAGCTACTAGCACCTGTTTCGTAAACAATTTTTCTAGAAGAGAGAATTGAAGGAATAGAATCTAGATTGAAGATAAATAATATTACTATTGAGATATGTTTCCTAGCTATGCATTTTTCCTATTTTTTGATTTGACATTTTGTAGATAAGCCTTAGAATGTGAGTGACTTAATTTGGCAGGCCATACTAGAAAATTATAGAGAGAAATATTAAGGCTGTGGGATCATTGAAGTAATATTCAAACATAAACATAAGTTGTTGTATTCTTTGCTTTACTAAGTTCCTCTATCCTCTTTCTTATCCGAAGATTTCTAAGGTTTGAGTCATAGAATCATATTTTCCGATTAAATTTTCGAATTTTCAATGTTTGGAATTATTTCTTTTAGTCCAAACCATTTGTCATTGTGTCTTCAATGCGATTGTACCTCCTACTAGAATTTCGAGCTTTCCATCAGAAACACCAAGCATATTCAAAAGATGTTATCTAATTAAAGGTTAAAATATAGGTGTCCACTAATCGACCGTTATTGGATCTCATTTACATCTGTTCATGGAGCCTTGTAAAGTACTTCTTACTTTCATTTTGCACACCATAAATTGCAGTCACCAGTTAGTCAAAAAAGTTCTCGTTTATAATTTTCCATTAAATCTGCTCGAAGATTTCTAATAAAAGTCTCAGTGATAATTGTCATCTCTATGAGTGAGATTCATTAGTCTCAGACAGCGGAAATTGATTGGAGGTGGGTAAGATTATGTGAAATCTAAACGTCTAAAAGTGTTAAATTCGTTATCCCGATCCCAATAAAAATACTCAAGAACAATCAGACATCACATTATATAATCTTAGATATACAGAGGCACACTATTATACTGTACTTGAAATTCGGTATTAAATTGCTACATAATTCCATTCACAGCGATGAATGGGATTCGGGGTGGATTGGATGGTATTAGAATGTGACAAGTAAGATTTGATGAAATTTATATTAAATATAAGTGTAGCTCGAAGAAAATTACAAGATAAATAGTTTGAATCTTAAGATATTTTATTATAGTTGTCAATTATTTTAGGCGAAATAATAATTATTTTATATTTGATTTAGTTTGTCATGCACGGCTATTAGAGAAAAATTCAACCAAACAAATTTATGATTGATGGTTTTTATAGTGCTGCACGTTCTACCAGAAAGAAATTTTTAGCGTGAAGATAGTTAAAAATAGTCTCAATGGGTATCTATGGCGAAGCGCGTACTTTAATACCGGCTGGGTCATCGTTGATTGGTTACGTCTAGAATTTCTGGTTCAATTGGGAGGGTTATCGTATCTTTTAATTGTAAGATTTTCGAGCTTTTACATTTAGAATTGATGAAAATTTATTTAATGTCCTCGATTTTATCTGATCTGAATTTTCTTCTGTAGCAATGGAATTTAATACGCTCCATATAATTGTCTAGAATGATTTGTGACAACTAATAGCAAGCGTTGACGTATTCTGGTTATTTTATTTCCAACTCAAATATATCGGTGCCTACACACAATTTTGTTCTTTTATATTTTTGTATTATTTTACATCTTATTTTGCCAAGTCTCTTGCATCATTTCATATCCTTCGTTCCTATTTATTTAGAATATGCTATATTTACGTCTTTTTCCCATCATTGATTTTCTGCGGAAAGGGGATATTCATCTCTTTTGTTCAGAAATTGTTGCCTAATATTTCACAATTTTCTTATTTTATTTTTTATGTGGAAAGTTAACCTTTTATTATATAGCGGTATTTCCTGCTTAACTACTTTCATTATTAGGTGGTATTTATAAATGACCTTGTTTTTTTCTATAATTTCTGTATTTTATTAATTATTAAAAGACACCTTGAATGCTTGAGTTATTACGGTTGCTGTCTTGATGCCAGCTGCTTTGCGGTTTGGTTTATTCCCGGAAGACGTTTTTATGAACAAATCGTTTCAGTATCTTTGAAAATTTTTGCAAGCATTTGACTTCTAATATATAAAATGTTTATCACATCATATTTCGTATTATCTAGGTTGTCGTATTTCCGAATTTCCTATTGTTTGTCTACCAATCTAGTCAAACTATATTGTGTCACTCGTCGATTATTTGCATTTGCATTATATTTTTCTGCAGTGATTGTTTTAAAAGTCAATTTTCTGACTTAATTTATTGGTTCTTTGGCTTCTGACCAGCTTGAAGTATTACTATCTTAAAGTATTGAATTTTTATTTTAGCTTAGTTTATACGCACTCAAGTGGGATGGAGTATTTCTCTGGGACGATCCACATTAAAGTGATTGAGGCGACTGACTTGAAAGCTACGGCCTGTGCCACGCGCCACGCCCTTGGTCCAGCCGCGAGACTCTACGAACTCCTCGATCCCTACGTCACCATTGAGGTTGACGACCTGGCTATTGCCAAAACCTCCACCAGGACTAAAACCAACTCTCCTCGTTGGAAAGAGGATGTGAAGGCGGAGGTTTCCTCGGCCCAGCGCCTCACTTTCACTGTCTATCATGATGCCGCCATTCCTCCAGATGACTTTGTTGCCATCGGTGAACTCCTTATGCGTAATGTTCGATCTGGAAATGAATTCTGGTTTGATTTGGAACCGCAAGGTCGGCTCAAACTTCAGATTGATCTCATTGGCACGCGGACGGATGAGCCTCCAAAGCTGGCGTTCGATAAAGACAATTCACTGGCTAGTGGTGGTGTTTTACATGCCAAGCATTATCGTGCGGGTGCTTTGCGTAGACGGATTCATCAAGCTAAAGGGCACAAATTTCAGGTGAGAACCACTCCTCTTAAATAGATTGTGCTGTCGTACTTTTGCCCTCTATCTTAGTTAAATTGTGTAGGAGTTGAGGATGACATGTTTACTGTTTATTTGTTGGATGACCTAAATTGCTACCATTGCTTATAGAATTTGATCTAAACTAACGTCATTAAAGAATGCATTTCAGTTTATTTTGGTAATTCAGTTGACTTTCAAAGGCTTCAATGAGGTTACATAATGCTTGTATTTGTTTAGGCCTAAAAGTTAAAAATCCTTTACATTGTTTTAGGAAAATACATTTACTTGTATCGACTTTGTTATGTTAGATTTGGCTGGCTGATTGGTCAATCGGTAAATGAACTAGTGACGAGGTTGCATTTCCAGCCCAGTCACTCCTTGCCCTTGGTAATCAAAATTATGCAAGCAGTGGTTCAATCCCCTGTTTCCTTTGTTGCTAATAATAGTATTAATTATAGCTCCGAAAAGGAAATTTCGATATAAATCCACAGTCCGTATTGCCAAACCATGAGCAATGTACTCAGTGTGGTCTCTGTCAGTTGAATATACGGATGCCTGGTGGCTTGGGCATTTAATATGCTTGTTACGCTATAAGTGTTCCTGTCAACTATTTGATGATGGGCTTTGGGATTAACTGCAATTCTCCCTTGGCTTTTTTCCTCGAGTATGAGTGAGCTCTGTATCCTACCAATATCTAGCGACAGAACTGGATCGTTCTACGCCACGGAAGTTATACATAAGTAGCCATCGGAAAAGTTGCAAGACTCCCAGTCGTGTTTAGATAATTTTTTTTATTCAGTTAATTTTAATGATACGTTTTGGTGCATGACCAATTGGCGGAATATCATCCTGAAGCCAAGCTTTCTACTTGACTTCAATCACAGTCAAGGTTTAATTGCTGTCGTTCACGAAAAGCAGTTTCTTGTTTTACTCATAGAATAGCGTCTGAAAAATTGAACAGTGCATGAGGCTAATATGGTGTTAAATGATAGAAGTGGTCACTAAGAGACAGGCAACGAAGTTAGAACATCTGTTTGATTTCATAATGTACTGGGCTGTCTATATCCCCTTAAAGTAAGAGTTCAATTTTCGAGTTCCTAATGGTCAATATTCTTTAGTTGACTTCCATTTATGAGTGACATTTTATCCACAATATTCAAAGCTCTTTTTGCCATGCTCATTAATTCAATGGCTGGTTTATTTGTATCATCTCGCAGCTTAGAGGTATAAGATTGGACTAGGAAATAGCTATACTATCTACTTCTCGCTCTAAGTGCATTAGTATTGTTTTATTTATTCTAGTTTTTATGAATTTCAGGTCACCATTTTGAAGCAATTCACCTTCTGCTCGCTTTGCAACGACTTCATTTGGGGGTTATGGAATCAGGCCTATCAATGCCAAGTATGTACTTGCGTGGTCCACAAGAGATGCTATCAGAACGTCATTATTCAATGTCCCGGTGTCAAGGCACCACCGACAGGCCCCAACGCAGTTTTACAAGTAGATTTCCTTCTTCAATTTATTTCCACATTTATTTTTTCCCTTCAATTTATGTTTATGCTTCTAGTGTCCTTTATAATCATTTTTGATTTTCGCATGTGTAGGCAATTGAGGTCGTTTAAAGGAATTGGTGAGTCCATCGGCTTTTCTAAATGAGCTTTTAGAGCGTTATTCTAACTCCCCACATTTTGACTCTAAACCGTTTTTTACCCCCTTTCTAACATTCATTTATGTTAGTTTTGATTGTTTTTCTCGAAACATTTTCCCCATATATATATATATTTATGATTCACTTTTATCACAAAAGCAATCGACGTGCATCTCCTTTGAGAGAAATTTATAAAATAATCGTCTTTCATTTAATCAACCGTTATGATCTCCATAATTTTTTAATACTTACTTTTGACTAATAGAAGTGCACCTAAGGCACGTAAACCCATCGAAGGTCTTTTATCAGAGTACAAATTGGTTCGATTAGCTTAACTGTTTTTTATTAATAGTGCAGAAAACACAACTTCTGGAAGAACCTTCACGAACGAAGGAAGCCGTGATTTATTACAGCCTAATGGAGGTATTGTAAATTTGAAGCGAAATACATGCGAATCCAAATAGTAGTACTTGACACTGGTTGGTTGAGGACATTTCTTGTTACATGGGACATTTTTCCTTTTTTTAAAGAATATTGACTGTCTTCAAGTGACTATCCTCTATATAGTCATGTGAAATAACAGGACTGTATGGTCTAGCATATGTTATATATAAAGATGGCAACGACACACCTGGAAGCACATTACTCTACACGATTACAATAAATAATTTCTTAGTTGGAATGGCTTCCCATTCACATCCGAGCCATCCTGTTTTAGAAATGTGACTCGAATTAGCATTATAACAATGTTGGGCTGGTCCAAATATGCGTACATAGCGTCTTTTAGCGTTTTAACATTGCCCTATGCTGTCAGCATTTTCTCACCTACCTCGAAGAATTAAGCGATTGTAGGCTGGAACTGAAAGTTACTTTACAGAATTGTAGTAAGCCGTACTATTATACCTTTCATCAATTTGACACAGAGAGCTCTAGAGTCTGTATCACTTCATATTTGTGTGCAGATTGAGAACACAAGAAGCTGTTGAAGGTGCTTTTGCGTGAATCCAAGATCACCGCAAAACCAGTAATTTCGTCCTACCGGTTTATTAGTCTTTTCCAGGCTAATTTTAGCATTGAGCAGAAGCCCCATATAGGTGAGTGGGTGAATGAACAATGGGAAAAATTTTCTAGTCGAACTAGCGAGCAGTTAGCTAACTGTACCCGCCTTTTAACTTGCACACGGAGGTAGCAAGAGAAGAAGACGTGAAGGAGAAGCAGTTGTATTTGTAGCTGATTATAGAGCACGCTATACTGGTGGTGGTGGTGGTAGTAGTAATGGCGACGGCATGGCCTATTAATAGGGTACGTGTGGACGCGTGTATCGCGTGGTTGGCACATGTTAGGAGGACGATCTCATTTTTCATGCTCTTATGCAGCATTCCCTTCCTCAGCGTCATGAGACTTGGGCCTAGGTTGCTGTTGTTTTCCCCAAACCCTAATGTCTTTAAGTGCAAATTAGGTTAACGGATTGGAATGTGAGCATAAGCTTTTCACATTTCGATTTATGTTTGCTTCAAAATTGGGCATACCTGCATGCTTAATTATGTTGACTATAGTCGGTAGTAGTTCTTGACGGTCGTGTTTGTGTTATTAGTTTGAAGATAACTCCGTAAATGAGTTCTTAATTTCTTACCTCGTCCAATTGTTTGACAGTGAATTTATCACCGTTCCGCCAGTTAGAATTTGATTTTGACAAGCTGTATCATCCTGCCAGTCTGTTTAGAGATTTGATTATGTCGGAGAATAACTATTCGCATGAGTATATTCAGTCTTAGATGTTTCTCTATGAGAAGATTGGGACTCAAGTATTTAGCTTAGTTTTGTGAAAATAAATTACAAGTTTAGTTCGGTTCAAAAAGATTTATTCATCCATGATACTGCTATGAGCCAACTGTGTGTCTATACTATGTTGACGTGTCAGCTTAAACCCAGAAGAAATAGGGTTAGAGATGGTTCAAATTGCTTTCTTCTTATTTCTCAAAATAGCTTGTGTCCTGAGGCTGCAAAATTTCAAACCCCCCTTGAACGAGCATAGAAATTCACTAACTGATAATCCAATGACCAAGGGGTTAAAATTATGACCTTCGCTCAGATGCTCCGAAATTACTAATTTTGACCTCCTAACACTATCCATTAAAGTTAATAAGTAAACAGATTGGTTTATCTTATCGTATTTCCACGTGTTTCTTGCAAACGCTACTTTATTTTTCTCAATGTTTTCCATTCTTGACGCTTTTCTTCTAATGTTAGAAACTGGTGTCTAAAATCCTTCCAGATGTGAAATTTCACCCTGTTTAAGTTAACAATATCATACCTGAACGACTAGAAGCTGACTCGAAGATGCTTTTCTTATTTTTTTTTATCTAATGAAGTTCTTCCTAATCATTCACTTACCAAGGTGATGTCTTCAACATTGCATTTGCTTGCCTGTGTTTACATGAAGGGAGTCGCTTTAGATATGTAGATCACTTTCGATTGGATGACAAGATAGTTTTTTTTAATGGCCGGTTGATGTTTTTTCTAAATTCGTGTTTTACCTTTGTTGGATTGACATTTGAATGTTGCTTTTTCGCTCTAACCCGCAATTACCTGTTCAATGTCAGCTTATTTACATGCTCTTTTATTCCCTCTCCGGAAATTGTACACTCATTCTCTAGGTTTCGAAGGTCAGTTTTGGTGGTTTTGCTTCATTTGCAATTGTGTTTTAATGATTTGAAATAGCCATTTCATTTTTATTAACATTTGCCACCCATTTTTTTTCAGAACCGTTTCAACATAAATGTGCCACACAAGTTCCGAGTGCATACTTATATGTTTCCCACCTTCTGTGAGCACTGCGGATCTATTCTCTTTGGAATTATGCGTCAGGGCTTGCAGTGTGAAGTGTGCAAGGCGAATATCCATAGACGGTGCGAGAAGAATGTCGCCTCGCATTGTGGGGTTAAGACCCGTAACCTCATTACGGCGATTCGAGAGTGTGGGCTCAATCCCTCCGACTTGGGATTGAGTGCCGAGGCGGTGGCTGCTGCCAGTGCTGCGGAGGCTGCGCGATCTGCACCTACTCAACGCAACCTCAAGTCTGAGCTCTATCCTTGGTAGGTTTAGCCAACATTACTCTCGAAAGATTTAGTATTATTGTTAGAAGTCTTTGGATTTCTCTAGTGACATTGTATCAATTATGTTGACATGTCCCCGGCCAGCGGTATTTGTTTCAATATAAAGATGTGCTTTATGCGGAGTGTTCTAAAAGTAACATTTTACATTAATATTGCTAATGCATATAACGTGAGCTAAAATTTTTCTATAGTTCTAATGAAGTGGTGGATTGCATGAAAGAATAGAAGGTTTCACGCGTAATTCAAATAGTCACATACAACACAAAATCTTTTCAGAAACGGTCTAGAGGTTGACCATTCCTAAGAGTTGGTTCTTAAAGTAAATCTGCTATGCTCAATGTCTTTTGCTAAAAGTATTTGCACCATATGCCCGTTTTATTTCATTCGAGGCCTCATTCATCTAGTATAGTAGTATGACGTTACCACGACACAAAGTTAGGATTTCATGTTTCTTTATGGCCGTTTGCAAAGTTCATCCACCATCGGTAGTAGCAAAGTGCAGTGAAAAAAACTTTCGTCCTCTGACCTGGAAATATGTATACGTACACGCGCATGCGTTCTATGGTTCATTGCCTGGCTTTGCTGGTACAGGTGCACTCTGCTGCTGCTGCTTCTGCTACATAGCCACTTTGGCATGTGCAGCTTATGCGTATGCTATATGTCCTCCCTCCCTCTCTACCATCTAACTTCTAATAAGGACAAACTGCTGTTCTCCATCATATTCCTGCATGTATCCTGATGATTACACTACGACTTCGGCTACTATTGGTAGTGTTTTGTGTCCCAAAAGTACATTCTTTCCCTGTAGTTGGGATATATGCAGGTAGGAGGTAGGGAGGGGGAGGGGGGGGGGCCTATTTGTACATACCGGTTGATGCTCTGTTTACATTTCTTAGAGCTCACTTTTTCTCTCTGTCCTCTTTCTGAGTCTGGTAGTAGTCTAGGCACTTGCCTCTCGCTTGCCTCTAATTTGTTACTAATCGCCCCCCCCTCCCCCACCCCTTTGGCTAATTCACTAGTATAGTTTGGTAGGGTACATTAGTTCTAAAGATAGTAATTATAAATTCGTCTTAGTATATCCACGTATTTAGGCTTTTAGTTGGCGACTTGTTAGAATACTTGCCAAATTTTATCATTGAAATAGGATATTCCTTTTCAAATTTTGATTTCGCGGTTCTACTGCGGTGTTTGGTTCTTCTACTGTGCTTTCATTTGAGCATTAGAATTGAAGAACTAATATTTAACTCTAATATATTTGAAATAGGTTTGTTTGTCTCAGCTACCTTGCTCATGGTCGTAAGAAAACGTGAGTCATTAGGCTCCTCTATTATTTCCAAAATCAAACAAAGTTGGGCACACCTTCACAACCTCGCACTTTTATATGCATTCATTTGACGGACGTTTCATTTTCTATTGAATTTCTTAACTATTTTTAATGCCTCTTTTAATAGTTAACTGTTAACAGTTGTGTGGACTTAACTTTGCAAGTGCCCAGGATCTGTTTGTTTCCCCAATTTGAAAAAAGAGTCGGCCCTCACTTTAAATCAAATAAAAGTTCTTTTGGACGTTGATTCCCTGCCCCATTCTTATTTTCGTGTTAATAGCGATGCCTCTGTGATATCCGGGCTCTAGCGTCGGGGCATACGATACATCACTTTGAGACTTGAGTATGATTACTCCCCCCCCCCTCTTCTAAATTTTCTATTTTATCATTTGTAACTAACACAGTATTATAAAGGTGTAATATCAATGAGACTGGCTCTTTGTCGAGTCCTGTGGCGTTTTTTTATTTAATTCCAACTAACTTACACCTATTTCAAGAAGGTCGCTCGATTATCATTTCAAAAAAATGTGTGAAAAGATTTATTCAACCACCAATTTGAAGACAATACGCTAATGAACTACGGTAAGTGTACCTACTTCAGATGGTCGAATCTGTTGGTAGAGATTCTGGAGGTATTTAAATAGGTGTGCGAGTCAAATACTAAAAATATAGTGGACTTTAGTTGTGACACTACCTCAGAATGTAATTCGAATATCTGAATATATTAAATTAATTTTTTTAATAATGGTAGCGGATGTGCACCCCACGAGAGGTCGTTCAGTTCACCTATCCCAATGCCTCCAACTCCAAATGACTCCGACATGGTCGCTTCTGGACTCGATGCTCTGCATCTCAGTGGCGACGGTTCCCATGGACTTATTGCTCATCGACCCAGCTCCATGATGGTAAGCACTCTGAGTTGCATTGCATAATTCACTGAAATCCCTTCAATCTGCCTGCCTTTGAAGCAAGTTAGAAAGGTTTTGTTGTGATGAGATTACTCTCATTGTTGTCCATCAACCACTTTTTAGAAAGTAAAGATCTAGCCCTTTAATCTAGAATCTCATAGTGCTGTTCCTCGGTTTTTCAGACTTCCTGATTCTTAATTCAACGGATTTCGAACCTATGCTAGGGAAGGCCTATGAAAGCCTCATATGTTTATAGTCAATTATTTAGCTCCTCGTTGCTCAAACAACACCCGCCCTATCGGGAGGGGGAGTAAATCCACTTATACAGGATTTGTTGTGGGATCTGTGATTGGTAGACTGGTTTGCCAATTATTATAACGATGGGTTTATATTGGCGTCTTTTCTTGAAGCCCAATAATCGATTATTCAGCACATGAGCTTACGAGCCCACCGATTTTACTCTTATTGCGCTTGATCGGACGTATCGAAAATATTCGAATTGACTTCCTAATTTAGCTGTTCTCTGGGTGTTTTCGAACTGATGGCTTTTAAAATTTTATTAATCGTTAAATAGGATCTAAACTGTCGTGTATAATGCATTTGATTGCCTTTGGCGTAAATGAGAGCCATTCTTCTTCGGTGGATTACTCTAAAGCTTTTCAATCGGTGACAATTACTAATGCAAATAGAATATCTTGCACACGACATGTGTTTATAGGCTATGTGTGAAAAGATGAGATATTGGTGACTTTGTATACACATTCGTATATCCTGTACATATATGGTTATAAACTAACCTCATCTCTGGTATTTAGTCCGCAAAATGCAACATTGATTGGTTAACTTCTACCTTACTACCCTTCTAGACCGTTTTAGATTCTCTAAACTGTTTTCGGCTAAAAGCCCACAATCCTTTTGACGTCTTTAGCCAGTGACCTTGAATTTGCATTCATCAATGGGCTGCGTTATGCCAATAGTGAGGTGATGTCTCTCCTAAGGATTCACAAAGCTTCCTTCCAAAATAACTTCCTTCGAACTTTTAACGAAGAAGCTGTATTTATAGATTATGTTGATAAGGCGGATTCTACGATTTTATTTCCTAATGGTATCCTACTGCGCCAGTCTGTTGAAATTTTCTTATTATGCAATCGAGCGTTGACGGCTAGATCTCAGCTTGATCCAATTTATAATTGGAAAATTCAACGGTGCGCCCATTGGCGATAGCCACGAATTTTACATATTGCTTATCGTTGGGTCTTGTGTGGGGATGTATAATCGGTTATGCCGGTTTTATGGAAGCATATGGAACTATATGGATTATTTACTTTAAATTCCGATTTGACACTGCAGACGTTGTGTTATGCTTAAAAACATCATTTAACTATTAAATTAGGTTATGAAAGATTCGCGACTTTTATAGTGTACTATAAGCGTAATTATGACTCCCTTATGCAATCTGTCGGCATTTTCATGATGGGGAAAGCCGATTCAACTAATGAAAATTCTATGTATCAATTTAACTAGTTGTTTTCAGCAAAGTCAATATCTGCCAACCCCATACTCTGTTGATGAATAAATTATACTACAATCAATGTTTTAGAATTATGTTTTGTATCTTAACTTACACGTTTATTCCTGCTTGTAGTAACTAATGGTATTCTTAGGAGATACAGGTACAACTAATATGAAGGGATGGAACTTTATTTTAGTCGTACTATGACTGGTTTTCACCATTGAGCACTGTCTAATTGGCAGGGTAGGGAATTGTTTTTTTCCATGAAATAATCGACTGTCAATAATTGTAATCTCATTTCTTCCTTTATGTGCAATACAGGAGGGTGAAGAAGGTGAGTCAGCAGCGAGTAACTCCGGTGTAATGAGCGGTGTTGGTGTCGTCGGGGCTCCTGGTTCCGCAGTGACAAGTAGACGCCACATTTTGCTCCGCATTCCCCGACTAGCTGACTTCAATCTGCTCAAGGTCCTTGGCAAAGGCAGCTTCGGCAAGGTCATGCTAGCTGAACATCGCGCCACTGATGAGGTATTCGCCGTGAAAATCCTAAAGAAGGACGTGATTATCCAAGAAGAGGATGTAGAATGCACCATGGCTGAAAGACGCATTCTGGTTCTTGCCGCTCAACATCCTTTCCTTACTGCTCTCTACTGCTCATTCCAAACAGAGGTTAGTATTGCGTCTTTCCTTTTTATAACGATCAGCTGCCTGCTTGGAGAGGATTATAACTATTCTGGCACTAGGAAGGAAATGAAATCAGCAATATAGAAATGGATATCTTGTTAAATATCGGCCATCTTTTTAGCCAATAGTTGCGGCTATGCCAATTGCAAAAATTGAAATCTATTGGGTTGGCAACTAAGTCATTGCCGTTTTTGTTGACAGATTCACTCTATACTTTCTTTTGTTTTATTAACGTGGCCAGAGCATCTAACCTATATTTTTTTCTTACTGTATGGGCTTCTAGGTTAATTAGTAAAAAATTTTTTTGTTTAGTTCTTTAGTTTTGTTTTTATCCCAATTTAAAAATGAAAGAACAGGACGTGCACTTCCGACACATTTTATTGTATTACTTCCGAAAAGGCAAGAACGCATCGCAAGCACAAAAGAAGTTATGTGCCGTATATGGAGATGAAGCCTTAAAAGAAAGGCAGTGTCGAAATTGGTTTGAAAGATTTCGTTGCGGTGATTTTTCACTGAAAAATTCACAACGATCTGGCCGCCCAGTCGAAGTGGATGAA